AAGGAGCCAACGTGGAGAATCCGTCATCCGAGGCGAATTTCGAAACAATTTTCTCGCTTTGGAGGCAACTTTTGGCAGCGTGAGTTGGGCAAATTTACAGTTGGGGGCCCCGCTACCGCTAGGCATCAAAATCTTATCGACTCCATTCTGGGTGGACGGTGCCTTTGACCTGATGATTACTACTAGAAAGCACAGCCACTGCGCTATCCGAAGCTATTCGGTAGCAGGCACTTACAATACATGTGCCGTGCAAATGCAACCCTGCGCTAAAGGCAAATCCGGGCGATGACCAACAAGTATTAGGTCAGCTAAAAATCTAGAAGTCTAGTATTAAATGCAATTTCGGTTCTCATACAGCAAATCCTCAAATTTTTTAAGCAATAGCACCTCCTTAGATAGCTAAATTTGAGCAATTTGAGATGGCTAAACTTTCACTTTCACGCGCAAATGCCTAAAGATGTTCACATTTTTGGCTGCAGAATTCACAAACAACAGGTCACAGCCTCCATTGTAGTCCTCCATCTAGTCAAAGGTTGTGTGTATTCAATCACCAATTCACTCGCCTGTGCGCTCACTACAGGACGAAACTTAGAAAGTAAGCGACTTTTACAAGTATCGTGACTTGCAATAAAGCGCTTAGTGTCAGCCTATTTGTGCGTGTGTGTATGTCTGTCTGTCACGAAATTCATGGAGGGTGCAGCCAAGCTATCGAGCTACAATTTTGCATAACATACCGCGCCGGCATGTAGGTCCACTACGCACAAGGACGAGCCGGCTCGATAAGCGGGTCCTTCAAAATTTGAGCGTCAAACGGTTCACGCTTCTTTTGGCAAGCAAAACTAGGTCGCTAATTCGACTTTTTGCAAAATCATGATTTGCCTGACAGGTAAATCCGCTAGCCCAAGAAGTGCTCAAAATATTTGGTTTTCTGCGAAAACAGCGCCAAAAAGTGGTGGTCGCGTAGATAGTCGATTTGGCAAGGTTTTACCTCAAAATTTGAACAGAGTTTTGCGCGGAAATGTAGCTCAGTGTGACTATTATCTTCATGACGGATACCAAGCCAAAACAAACTCAATAAACCATTCGAATTCGCGGCTGTACGTTTGCAAGAAAGTTTTTCATCTTAAAATTACCAATCCTACGTGGAGACGCTTCAGAAATGAACAGTTGTTTACGATTCATTTGTGATCTTCAGCATCGCGTGGTGAGTTTCAAAGTCGTTATTAAGCGACATTAGAAAGGCGTACGGATAAAAGAGCCAGTGCGGCCCTCCGCGAAGCGGAGGTAACGAACTGGTGATTATATAAGGGCATAACTGTTTTTTTGAGCGACAAAAATCTTGACTACTTGATATTTGAGAATAAGGCTTGGAGCTATCTTCCCACAAAAAAAAAATCTTAAATGAAAAGCTACAGTGAATTGTCAATGAGCTTTGAATTTGCATGTCAAATCGGACCATTTGTTAGCAAACCCAATAGTTTTCGCATCTTGCAAGCATCTTGTAGAAGCTGTTAGATTGTTACGACTGCAGAACACAATATGTTCTGGTCAAGGATTATATCCGACAGGAATAAATAAAACAATAGTAGCAAAAACGACGAACAATGCTACTTAATATTAACCCCCTAAATCAAAGATCACAAGAGTCTAGAGACTCAGCCACGTCACGATCGCCTGCCGTTGAAGTCCACACTGATTCTGGTTTCTCCACTGGTCTCGTCTGTCCGATATCTCCACGCAAGACGTGCAGTGATTCGCAAACAAGCTCCTTGATTTCAGCAAGGATCTGCACTTGCCTGTCCAGTACCAGTGCTCTCTCCATTAGAGCTTTCTCCTCCCAAAACGTAGAATCTGCTGCGATCTTCATCTTCAAGAAAATCTACCTTCAAAACCATTTGAAAGCGAGTAACTTCTCTCTCCGACACTCTGCGCCGTTTTTAAACGGACGATATTGATGAGATGTCGGAGTCAAACTAGATCGTAACAGAACATTGTAAGAGTCTGCTGAAAACAGTTAGATACGTTGAAGCTACTGTTACACTAATTAGTATGCTCACACACCCTTATGTCAGGTTTGAGCACCTTTGCACGAAATTCGCTGAAAGATTAATCAACTTGCACTAATCGAGAAAGCAGCCGATAGCTCCCTTCTCGAATTGTATTGCGCAAAATTTGACCTGAATTTCAGAAATAGTTTTATCCAGAATACATGTAAAAAATACAGACAGAAGCACTGTGCACAAGGATACTGGTTTTAACTAAGGTTAAGCGGGGGTGTGGCACACGACCCCCAGCACGATCTCCCCCCCCCCCTACCCTTCCCCCTCCCCCCACCCTGCCCTTAGCGCAACAAATATAAACTAGCCAAACTTACTTCAAAAAAAAAACAGAAAAGAAGCTTTACTTTTTTTTAGTTTTACCTCAAAACAAGATAAAGATGATATCTTCTGAACTTTCAAAAACCATGTACAGAACGAGAAACTCCTTCTAAGTCTTTAGTTGATTGAGTAAACGTTAACCTTCATACAAGGTATGGAAAACAAAAATCCTCAAAGGTCTTGTAATTGAAGTTGCAAAAAAGTCATGTTAACAGGTTATGTTCATCTTATTTTGCACCAGATCCATGGAATTAGAAGGCTATTGGGCCGAAGGCTTAAAACTATTTTGACTTTTTACTGTAAAATAAAAGTTTTTAGACTTACCAATATGATGGCACCGAATGCAGCGAGTGCTTCATACCCTCGATACATAGAGCCACGTACTCTGGTAATCTTCACTTTGAGAGCTATGAGGGGACACAACCTTCACCTGGAAAAAAAACGGAAGTCATTCGGGGCGAAGCCCCGGATGATATTATCCTGACTATATCGGAGCGAATGTTAATGAAGCAAATGTAAGAAATAATATCTTTAGCTTATCTCAGCGAAACCGAGAATTTGCGTTTTCATAGCCTTTTTTCCCTTAGAGAGAAGTTTCTGTGGAATTTTCGCCAGAATTGAGGACAAAATTTCTCTGTTAACCTCTCATTCAGACAAAATCGAGATTCAGAAGTTTAGGAAAGCTACTAGAGTTATAAAAACGAGAAACTGCGCTTAAATCATGCGCAGAGAGTTGCGCACGAACACGCTGGTCTATCTTGTTAATGAGTGATTTCCAAAGCTTGGGCCGTTGTCAGTTCTCATCGTCGTGTCATGGCGATCGGAATGATATATAATGTTGCAGGGTTTCGTTGAGACCCCGCGGAGATCTACAACCAGAGCCCCGTCGGCTCTGGCCTGTCTCCGCTGCTCGTCTGCGTCTCCGCGCGCTGCGCGCTACCTCGCTACCCCAAACGCGGGGCGCGGGGCATTTGGCTCTGGTACCCTTTTCTTCGCTGTTTCGGACCCAAATTTTGCAAGCTATATATCGTTTTGAAGCTCTTGATCTCTATTTTCACGCTGACAACGTCCCAGAACCACATTTTCAAATTTGATCGAGAAATTCGGCAAAAACCTTGTTTTCGAAAATCTCTTGTTTTGCACCTAGTTCAACTCTTTTCACGCCGTTTTTTCGTGCATTCTATACATCTTGCTTCTACTCATAATGCAGACAACCACCCAGCCCTTATCTCTTTGACTATGGTGGAATGTTTAGCGAAAAATCGTAAAAAGTGCGTTTTTTTACCTTGTTCTGCTTCACTGCTTTCGCATCGATTTTTATCCAGCTTGGGCGATTGTTGCTCAGAACAATAAGCGCAACAATCCAGACAACGTCCCAGGAAACAGTAACGTCAATGCGGGGGTAAAAATTCAAAGGACGCATCAAAAATCCGAACCCCGTGTTGCGAATTGCTGGTCCCAAAGCAAACTTGCATTTTGAAAAGCCGCCAAATGAAAGACTTCAAACCTCTTGCAGCGTTTTTATCCGGTTTTCAGCAGTTTCTTTCGCTTTTTATATCTGTTTTACGTCATTTTCTCTTCTCTGATTTTCTTCAAACAACCTTCACTATTTATGACGTCAGGGCCTGTAGTAATCCCCCCTACGTCGTAACGTACGAGGTCGCGAGATCAGCTCGAGCTTAGTTTCATTCCTCAATGCATTGATCAGTTCACCGGCTATCCTTCAACACACTCGTCGAATCTCGTCAAGAACAGCTCGTGAACTAAGCTCGAGCTAAAGCTCGTGATCTTAGACACGACATATCTCACGAGCTCGTACACGAGGTCGACTTTCCTCCTCAGATAGTGGGCCATGGTGAGAGACGCAGAAAAATGGCACGAGACTAGAGCTCGAGTACGCCAAGTTCACGACCTGTTAATCGTGCCAGGACCCGCCTACAGTACACCAAACAACGCTTCGAAACGTTAAAACCCTGCGCTATTTCTCCAGTAAGCTTGCTATTTGTTTATCGTCACTCTTTCCCGTTCTTTCAATATTTCCCGGAGAGTGGCAGCTCTTAGCGACTCCTCAGTTTGAATCCTTTCCAGTGATACTCCGTCTTCCTTTTTCTTATCGTTACCTTTGCTTCCGCTGATTATTTGAAACGTGGTAGCTAATTTATTGTCATGCTTTCGCAGCTTAATGCAGTTCCGTTAATCTGAATTCGGAGTTCTTTCGTCCATCAGTACTGTAAAACATCCATTCTCTTCCTTTCTATAAAAGAAATCTGCTAAGTGGTCAGCATTTTCTTTTTGTTGTGATTTTGCTACCGCGAAATACAAAGTTTTGTAACCGATTCGAGAATAATATAGTCGCCTGTCTAGAAAGAAGTTTCTTTTCGCACAGTAGAGTTTCTTCAGTAGTCCTTGGAATCCGCTTTTCCGTATAGTAGAGAAGAAACAGGCAGGAAACTTTTAAGCACTCTTTCTGTACTGCAACCTTTTTAGTTTTGAAGGTGTGGATTCTTGAGCTCGATATCCCCAAATCTTTGACTTGTCGTTGTAGCGGCATCTTCGTCCTTCTAGCTCTCGAAACACTTTTCGTTGTTTAACAAGAGTGTATCCTTTGTATCGGCAGTTTTTATGAAAATCTGTTCATTTGTGTTGTTGGTTGTTGCAGACGTCACACCCGATGCTGAAGAAGAGTATGAATGCAAGGGAAACAATAAGTATGGGCAGGCCAAAGGTGCAGCTAAACTTCTGGTGCGAAGTAAGTAAGCTGGTCTTGAGGAGTTTCCATTTATTAAAGCATTTCCGCTTTTCTGTGATTTTTTTCGAAATTGATAGGACAAACCAATAGTTACTCTTTCAAAGGCTACACGATTAGAACCGTTCCGTCGTCCTGAAGAAGTTATCCCAAATAGGGCACGATATGTCATTAGATAGAGCAAACCTAGCTCTACAAGACGGTGCTTAAAGTTTTGCAGCAGCTTTGATCCACGCGAAGATTTAAGCTAAAATCCGGAAAGATCCAACCCAAAACCCAAGAAAAAATTGAAAGTCCATTCAGAAAAATCCTTAGAAAATCTTAATTTGCTCATGCGTTTTCATTTCGTCTAGCTAGAAAATGAGAAACCGTAGATTTCCATGTTTTTTACAAAATAATGCTGGGATGTTCTAGCACCTACAGTTGCATACTACAGAACTTAGTAAAAAAAATAACTAACTTAATTAACTTAACTTAGGTCGCTGTGGGCTGAACGCACGCGAGCGTGCCTGCAACGCAGCTGCCGAGTACGGACGCTATGATGACTCATGCGCGCGAATGCCAATGTTAGCCCGCAAGAGACAAGCGCGCGAGAGTTCAATCCGGGCGGTTCTATGCAGTCAACTATACCACGAATTAGAGTTGATTTTAATTCAGTTACAAGAAAGCGGATTTTATCTTCAACGCTGTAGGACAATAGTATTTCTCAACAAGTTTTTGTTTTATTTTATTTTTGGTGTACAGATGAATAATTGCGTAAGTATACACAATTTTCCCTACTTAGCGGACAACAATAGAAATTGTGACCTAACAATTTGAATCCCGTACTAGAGATACGCGATTTTTGTATATTTGTGTTCGACGAGAAAATCGGGTTAGCTTTTTGCGTCTTTTTTTTGATCTGGAAATTATTCCTACTCACTTTCGAGTTTACTGAGAAACTTTGCCAGAGATATGAAACATGAGACAAACATTTTTCTGTACCTATTTACGAACCGCCAAAACAATCGAATCTTGATCATGCCACCTTGGCCATAGTTACCCACTTTTTGTGATTGCTAAAAAAGGTTATCTGCCATCTGTGAACAACGGAATGCCTGGCTTTTTGTTGATCGTAGTGTACCAAATAATCAACCGATGGTTACAACATATCTGCAGTGATGGACTATTTATTGCTCATGCATCCACATACAATAAAAAGACATTTGTGAATCACTTTCCCAAATGGTGTTTTTTAGTGCCATCTCCTGTACGAGGTCTACGAGCTTATACAATGAACCCTCGAGATTCGAATGAGAAAGCTGTTGTGCATCTCATATGGAGGAGACCACAACGGCGAAATGGAAAACTTCTCAAATACGTGGTATGTTGAAGTCAAGTTGAAGAATTTTCTTACTGCTCTCTTTCTCTCTCGGAGCTCTCTGACTTCCCAAAATTAGCGTGACATGGGGATCCTTTTTTTTATCCGAGTCTTGTTTTGATGCATGCAGTTGACCATCCAACAGATGTAAGCATATCAAGCTGCGCTGTGACGGAGGGGGGGGGGGGAGGGGCAGTAGGTACCAGGAACTCAACTCATCCATGTGAAATTGCCTAAAATCAGTTATTTTCATATATTCAGCCGCTTTCTATTGGCCTGATGGACCGCCGCCCAATACAAATACGAGCGAAGGCCAAACGGTCACCTTTGATTGCACGACAAGCGGAAAACCCGAGCCGAAAGTCACATTCTACAAGAATGGCGTTGGTGAGTGCTTTTAGAAATTTCTTCCGTCTTTGTTGATTTTTCTTCTAAATTTTCTCCATATACGCTCATGTTTGCCCGACAGTGCGGAGCGATTAGCGTAAAATGTTAAGCTCATAGTGCTTTTTTCTCGAATAGAATGCGTCCGATGGAAATTGTTTATTGCGTCTTTGTTTTTTCAGAGATGGAAAAACCAAAGGATGACGACATATGGATGATTGATACGACAAGATTGACCATCTACTGAAGAAGGGCTGCATGGAAAGAAACACAATGATGTGTATCAGCGTAAAGCTGTGAACAAGCACGATTATGTAGGCACGGTTATGTATGGACGAATTTCTACCTCAACCTGCTTGGTACGGGTTTTAATTTGCTTTGTGTAATGTGAATTCATGCACGGATGTCTTCAGCTTTCAAATCTGAACTGCTCACCGATGCTGGAGAAGCTGAAGCTGTGGCGGGACAATCCGTAACGCTTAAATGCAAATTCTTCGCTAATCTCAATGCTTTGATAACGTGGGCAAGCCCATTGCTTCAAGGCATTGCTCATAACGTCATTCTTGCAAATATGGTGTTGGGAAATTACCCTATTTCAGGTGTATAAGCCGCACCCTTTTCGCTTTAAAGGCGAACACGCCAGAAGACGCGCTCCAATTGATGGAAAAATAATTGAATGAAAACTTACCATAGTATAGCTATCAATACGAAATCGTACAACTTTAGTGGAATTGAATCTGGAAAGAATTTGATTTACTGGAAGTGCAACAGCTCACTGAACGCGTAGTTGAAAAACTGAAAACTAAAATAGCTCTTACCAATGTGAAAAAAGAAACTACCTCAGTATAAGTCCAGCGTTCGCCTTGAAAAACCAAAAGGTAGTCAAACATAAGTATAATATATGTGGAAACGCATTGAGTGCCATTGAGAGGATTCCTGGTCCATTGTGAAGCAATCCGAAATTTTTGCTCCGAAACAGGGCCCAGCACGAGGATGGCAAATTGACATCGGTGAAACGACTTCGCCTTTGCCACTATTGATTTTTACGATTTCCTACTTGATCTTGCCACCTGCGTAGGTTGTTTGATTGGAGCGCGCTTTCTTCCTCCAAGGGACCAGCGTTGTTGCTAATCCGGATCACTGCATAACATATAACGACTTCTTGTTTACCACTTGGCTCCTCCAGATCCGTGGAACACGGCAAATGAGGAGACAGCAGATGGAGAAATTATGATGAAATATGCTGATCTTTGGCCTTGGATAGCTGCCAACAGTGGCATGTTTTCAAAGCACATTCATTTCATAACGAGTGACCGAATCACTCAGACAATCAGAGGCTCTCAGCAGGCAGCCACAAAGCCACCGCCAAAACCCACCAAAAGGGCCGTAGCCTTATCGCCTCTCTGTCGCTTCCCGTTGAGAACCGTGTCAGAACTGGCAGCGAGCGGGCTGCTATAATCGCCGCTTTCAGAATAATTTGAAAAGGTGCGGGTTGTAAACCTGAAAATATTCAATATATGTGTTATTTGCAGTGTGCTGGAATGTGGAAGTTTTTCCTGCGTATGCAACCGATAAATGTAGTTTTAGAATCATTCTGCACGGAAACTACAAGAACAATATGAGTAATGTTCCTCTTTTTGGACACAAGCAAAAAGTGGATTTTGTATTGACGAAATATTCACGTTTCCACACGTCACTCGTAGCTTGTTACGCCATCATTCTCAACTGCAAAAGCTGCTTTTGAAGAAACTATAATACCTTGATTTCACGCATAATGGCGCGGTGGATTTTTTTTCCAAAATCGATCAGCCCAAAAGCACCGAAGCGCTTCGCAACCAAAGGGCCCTATAACGTGCTGTATATTGCTTAAGAGAATCGTGCAGTATAAGAATCTCTTTCTAAAATACAGTAGAACGCCTGAGCGGTTTGCTTTAAAAATCTACAGGCACCGTCCACCCAAAATGGAGTCGATGAGATTTTGATGCCTAACAGTAGTGGGGCCCCCAACTGTATATTTATCCAACTCGCGCTGACAGAAGTTGCTTCCGAAGCGAGAAAATTGCTCCGAAAATCGCTCGGTCGACAGATTTGCCACGTTGGCTCCTCCCCTTTGAGTGGACGTGACGTTCGTCCCTCCCATCCGCGCCCAACCAATCATCGTTCCGAAGAAATCGCTCTGCGAGTTCTGAAAACGGGGTTTTTCGTTTTCTCGCGGAGTTCCGACTTGATACTCGTCAGGGGCATGAGAAGGCCCTGGAATGGCAAAAACATGGAGGTCGAAATTTTGAGTGGATGGTGCCTTCAAAAGCGTGAAATCAGGGTACGACTTACTTCCAAAAGCCCAGTTCGTATTTCTCTCATTTACATTGGCTGTTTTCAGAGATAACTGGGAACGAGCGTGGCACATCTACAAATTTTATTGCAGTGCTTATCCCCTTAAAAACCGCTTTTGATCTTGGGCCGATATGACCCCCTTTACCTACACCTTCCCCTCCTCCCCTAATACGACTCCCAATATGGCGTGCTGCACCCCCGCCTTACCCCGGTTACAACAGTACATAACCGAGCCCTAAAACAGTATCATTTGTACTATCCTATAGAGGGAACAGCTTCACCGGCAACATAAGGACCGCCATCTAATTAGCGTTTTGAATTCATGCCTATACGGTCTGATGAGTCTGCAGCTCTGGGCAAATCCGCCACTCACAATAAATAAATTGATAAGATATCTTCAACTTTACTCTGATGGGAAGATAAATATCACCATGGCGATTCAAAAGTTAAACATTTTCGGACCATTATCTCATCTTTCTTTTGAAATAGCAAACCTTGATGGCTGAGCTTCGGAAAACCCCGGCATCACACCTGCGCGACCAGGAGCGCCTCGACACTCGCAAGGGTGCGATTGACATAATCACATATGGCCAAGAGGATAACAGAGAAATAGTGCTTATTAACAGACGCTACTCGTGTAAGCGGATTTCTGAACGAGCTTACTACTCGGACTCATACTTGGTTTTCAGGCGAGAGGAAAGACGGTATGACATTTACCTTCACCTATACTTTATCCATATAAATCCCACGACGAAATTCTCTTGCGCTTTTTTAACTATTTCATCTAGCCTGGGAAGTGTCAGGACGTGGAAAAGCGTCGTTATGCAAAAGTAAATCTACTCAGTTGCATTGGTGGTCTCAGCAGCACGACGCTTACACCGCGATCGCCTCTGACACAGTTGTTCTTCCCATTTCTATCCAAGGTCCCTAACGTACTTCAGGCGATCACTCGTGCGGCGATTTGGCAATTTTCCATCATTCAGCGTAAGCGCATTCTAAATAATAATGAGAAGTAAAGCTTTTCAATGTAATGTGTAAATAACCAAAAACTCCGTTTCGTTCCTGCCCTTAGACGGAGTAAAAGTATTTACAGACCTTCCCCGGAACTCCTCAGTAAGGAAGGAAGGTCTGTAAAACTTATTTTCAATAATAAGAAGTAAATTTATTGAATAGTGTAAACTATGTGTATGAACTTTTTTGAAATTTTTTTAAGTTTTTTCTTTTTTCTAAAAATTGTTAAGATATTGTATCAAAAATGTGATAGTAATAGAATTACTTACTTTTAAAAGAATATACTTCAATATAGAATATTTATCCTATATTATAAGAGCTCCACTATATATATATATATATATATATATATGAGCTCCACTATACATAACCAAAACAGTTGGAGCATTTTATCACACTATGGAAGTTACACACACTATGTAGTCGGCTAGTGTTTGATTTTAGGAAATCTGGCAAATTACCAATTTGCAAGGCAGCTAAAATCGCGTGATATGCCCGAGCCCAATTCATAAGCGGTGAACGTTCTTTTCTGCTTACGATTCACAATCATTGGTGCCATGCTATGCTTATAAGCATATAAGCCACCACTCAAGAAAACGCTTTAGTAAAAGTCACTACACAGTCAATATTGACATGCTCTACTGTGTGATTTTACAAAGCGCCCAATTTGAGTGCAACGCTTGAATGATCCAACAGCTTTTTTGAAACGCAGAGACAAGCGTACGATGCCAAAAGTTGGAAAATTCACATAGAATGTTGACAGCAGAAGCATCATGTAGAAAGCGTCTTAAAAACTTGTGCGACCCTTCTAACGTTTAGTCCTCTTCCGGAGGCCAGCAGGAGGACTAAGTCAGTCTGGAGCATATTTCTGTGAGTTCATGTATTTGGGCTTTTTACCACGCTATTCCTCCAATTAGGAATCTATCCTCAAACGAAAAGAAAGATTCAAATCGTTTCCTCTTCCCTATTGCCGCCAAATCGATCAAACAATCTGCTAGATAACGTGCTCCAAAGCCAGCCTAGTTTGAAAACGTTGTGCTTGTCTATTTTTTTTTAGACGCAGTCTTACGCTAGATTCAAAAACATCAGTGAGAAGTCAATAGCTTTTCAATAATGGTCAAAGAGGACTTCGTGGAATTTTTGCGGAATGGGAAAGGACTCTATTTGAAATACATTTAAGACGGATTTTCATATAAACCCTTAGACTCATCAAGGGGAACCCTATTGAAGTCAACCGGACCGTTTCCAGAAATAAGGCATAAGGTTTATGCACATATTGCCGTGATCGGCTCGTGGATGGTAACTTAAACTAGATTAGGAATTATGAAAGAAACCATAGTGATTTTTTCATACCCATTCTGTCAAGAATTTCTACCGAGAGTGCGAATCAAGTGCAGATTTTGATACAAGACTTACGTGCATATGAAATTCCGGGAATATTCGAAGTGATCGAGGAGTACAAGATTGTTCACATTCCTCAAAAATGCGGCAACACCAACGAAAGGAACAGTCTGTTTTATTAGTGAACTAGCTGGCAGTAGCCTATGACACCCGCCGGGGCCCGAAGTGTATGTGTGCCAAGTTTGGTCCCGATCGGTTCAGAAATGGAATTTTCTATTCGGAACATACGTACACACATACAGACAGACAGACAGACATACAGACAGACATACAGACAGACAAACAGACATTCAGCTTTATATATAAGATATAAGGAAAACAGAATTTGGTGACCACGAAACATAAACGAATGAGGTGGTTTGTAAGAGCATACAAGGTCAAGAAGATTTGACGATTACAAATTCACGGGTCGTGGAATATCTGAGTGATGAGCACGGCTGCGGTCATACTCCGAAAGATGTTTTTTACACAACTATTCGAATTTCTGAAGTCCTGTGAAATGATCGCAATGCTTTGAAAAGAACAAGTCACTTGCATAAATTTTGCTTAACGTCAAATTGCTTTACCAAGCGAGAGCGCCAAAGCAGTAATTTGAAGGTTTCCATTCCATTTCCAGTCAGCTCCCCTAATCTTGCATATGATGTAACTCCTTGTTATGCTCGGCATGCCCTTTCTAATCGGCCTCTTGAGGAGACATGAGTGTTAGATGAATTGTTCCACTGTGGGTTGCGATAACACGTCTTATGCCCTTTCATCCTTACATGCATAATTCAATTTCTTTTCAGACATGATGCCGTGTGCCGGCTATTCTCGGATTTATAGTACTCTTTGCCAAATCGGTTTCACTTCTCGTTGAATAAGGCACACGAAATTAACATTGTCTCGTAACAATAACGAAGTGTTTGGTGAGATAGTGCGTGTGGGTGCACTCAGATAATCTAGATCACGAATAGTATAACGAAATTTTACTACTAGCTGCAGGGAAAAAAGAAGAAAAGTGTCAAGAGGATTGACCCGTAATCCTGTAAAATTTAAGGGCCGATGTTTGTGTTGCCTTGGTTCACCTTTCTCATCAGCATGTATGAGCGAGAAAAGCAAAGTTTCCGCTCAGCGTTCGAGTGCAGGAGTTTTGAATTTGTGGCAAGATGAGCCTGCTGCGTATAAACTTTTGTATGAGTTGGATTGGATGCAAATTCAAGCTTTGAACAACCCAGAAGAAACCAGTTGATGAACTGGTCCTGAGTGTTGACAGTATATCGTATACGCTAATTCCACGAGTACAAGGCGTACTTTTTGCTCATTTGGATCAGCTTGAACACATCAAAGGCCGACCGAAGCCCTCTAAGGTGCTGCTCCTCACTCAAAAGAATCGTGAGGGAGTGCGATCATTTTGCGAGGCACACTTGTGCAGCCGAGCCGCTTGCTTAGTCGAAAAGTGCGTCTTGTACTTGTGAAATAAAATCTATGTTTATAGAAGCCTCCTCAGCCTAGTCGTATGAAATTGTCACGAGTTGAGTAGTAATCTACTGGCATTGAAGTACAAAGACGAAGTAAAGGAAATATGGTCCCGCACTCAAGAAAGATGTGTTTTACCTTGGGGCCATAACTGACATTGTGCGAGGAAATCGCTCAAATTTTTTGAAGTCACTTACTATGAGTAGAAATTGGAACACTGGCAAACAATGCAACATTTGTACCATTTAGCTGTTTAGAATCGGTTGATTTCGGCCGCTTTAGCTTTTTTGACTTTCCTGTAGGGAGCCACATTGCATGAACTACACGTTTCCTTCGAAAGACTGAGATTTAGAGGTTTACACCTGGGCCGGTAGTAATCTACCCTACCTGGTGGCATCATAGATGCCGGCAAGTTGGCACACATCGCGGAAAGATGCCAACTCCGCCGGCAGCTCCTAAACTGCCAACAAGCAGAGCGCCGCAAAACATAGGAATCGCGCGCCCTCGAACTTGCATGCATTGACCTCGAACGCCGGCGCACTAACCGATAGACCACACGCACGCTGTGTGTGGTGGCGAAGCGAACGATAAAGGAATGCTTGGATTTGCCGGGCCGCCGCAAAACATCCGCACCACGCGCGTTCGAACTTGTATGCACCAACTTGGAACTCCGGCGCACTAACCGGTCGACTACACGCACATGCTTTGCACATAGAAAACACCGCTGGGATATGTTTGAATTTACGAATCCTGTGCTTGAACATGATCGATGCCACTAGTGGTATACTTTGGACTTCGAAGTATCCTGTCCAAGACGGCCTCGCTCTTTTTCTCTTGTTTTCATTGCTTGTTTCATTAGATTCTTGTATAAATTCTTCTCTTCTTCAGATTCGTCTCTTAAAAACACTATCGCAAACTGCATTAACATGGCCTCAGAGTAATAACAAGTTTATTATTCAGACATCCTTCCTATTCTTATGTATGCCGCACCGAGCAAGAGGCACCGAAACATCCGCTACGGACGACTCCATCCTCTTCGCCTCTTCACCTCGAATCAAGGGCTGATTCTGAGGAAGTTCCGGATGAGAGAAGTTCATTTGCGACGACTGTGCGACCTGCTCAAGCCTTTAATGGCCCAGGAGAGCATCGACAATTGGAGCGTGGACGTTGAGAACAAGGTTAGTTGTTTGCGCATCGATAAGTACTGTTATTGAAGCAGCATAAAGAGATATGCAATGCATGTGCCCAGTCCGTGTTGCACTACAATCTTTCGATTGCGTTTTCCACATATTCATTCTCAGAGTCGGAAATGGCCTAGTGGGTAAGCAGTCGGCAGTTTAAGCCAGACATCGAGGGTTCGAATCCCGTTTAGGGTCATTATTTTGCGTTCACAATATAGAGAACATGGTGCAGGGCCAAATCATAAAAGCAATGATAGGGAGGGTGCAAAGCGGTCTAGAAGAATTAGTGGTGTTGGAAAGGTAACGTTCTTAAAAATTAGCTGATCAACTGTTTGCAGGTGATCATCGCCCTACGCTACTTCGCCACGAATGCCCATCAAGCCGTCCTGGCAGACACGATTGGTGTCTGCCAAAAGACGGTGTCGAACGCCGTGGAGGATGTGGTGAAGGCACTGAATAACCCGGCAATAGTGTAGAAGTTCATTCCGTGCCATCTCAACGACGAGCGCTATTGCCGGAGGAAGGCCGATGGCTTCGCACGATTGGGAAGGCTGCCGAACATTGTGGGAGCCATCGACGGCACACTTGTACCCATCCTGAGGCCGGCCAACTCAGGGTGGGAATACTATTGCCGTAAAGGATTCTGCGCCATCAACGTCCTAGCCGTTGTCGACGCCCGCGGTAGATTCATCTACATAAACAGTAACTATCCAGGTTCTGTTCATGATGCTACCGTGTACAGATATAGCCGTCTACATGATGCATTCGCAGAAGGAGCTGTTCCGGAGGGTTATTGCCTGATCGGGGATTCAGGCTTCTCAAATAGTAATGAGATCCTCACCCCGTACAGGAACCCGAATATTCTGTAAATGTATTGCAATAGTAATTTTACAGTTTTTCATTTTTTATGTTTTGTTACCTGTTACTAACCGGTACTAACCTCAATCTGATTGATCTCTATTTTCATTGGGTGTATTCAGACGTTGCTCATCATCAAAAGTTTTGTTATCATTGTAATTGAGTTTCTTATTGGTGCTACTAAGTAATGTATAGCTCACTAAGTACGTGTATATTTTATTTAATACAAATTAATTGTTAGTGTTTCCATTTGACTTATTTTTGTTTTCTTTTTATATTTAGCAATGATTAATGCTTTTATCTGTACCATATTGTACTCATAATGATGTAGTTATTGTTTGTTTCTGCATGTAATATAGTATTTTATTGTTTGTTTTTTCATGTGATACAGTATTTGAACTGCATGTTATCGGGAAATACAACAAAAAGAACAAAAAGGAACAGAAACAACAGCAACGCAATAATGTGAGTTCGAATTTCATGATTACACGAGTTCGGATGGAAAACCGATGGATCAAGCGGTAAGTTGTATGCTTTTGGTTACTCTGTGCTATAAACGGTTGATTGTCTGGTGCATGCGATGATTTATTTCCAGAAAGCTGATCCCCTTCTCGAAGAGCGACGAGGTGATCTAATTTTCATAGCTGGATAAGGGCAACTTTGTGAAATAAGACAAAAAGAGCTGACTCATCCAACTTGATTATAGAGGTTCCATCTATCGTGCAGGGTTTTTTCTTATGTGACGGAGGCGGGGAGCGTTCTTGCGCTGAAACTTTTGCATTATTGAACCTTTTTTTTGCTGTAAAGACTTCCTCTTCTTCAGGGAACAGAGCTGGGACGCATTGCCTGATCTGATTTCTAATCTGTGCAAGTATATAATGAACTACTGAAGCCAACTGATACAAAAATTGACTTGTTCCGCATCTTCTCTTTGTCGAGTGAATTCAGAATCGTTGTAAGTCTTGTCGTTGATTTCCTTACCACGTGGATTAGGCATGCCACCTAATTTGAACTGCCCTTTAAGTGCGTGAAGAGTTGCAACTTGAGTTGCAAAAGCTTGCTGAGCATGTTCCGATCCCCATCAAGGAGAGCTTGTATGAAAGCAATGCAAAGGCAAATGTGTTGCTTCAGTTAAACATCGTCCGTAGGCATAGACATGGAGGCAGAAACGCAGGTTGACTTAATGACCCGTATAGGAATATCATCATCTTAGGTTTTAGGCTTACATCTCACAAGTGAAACTCGACCGATTCGCGCTGCCATCCGTCATGGTCTTCATTGCTCAGGCAGCTGGACGGCTTTTCCGTGCTCATGTTGAAAAGCGTGTTTATCTCAGGTCCTTTTCTCTACCGCTACCCTGGCTTGGGGTGTCAACTTGCCCGCTCATACCGTCATAATCAAAAGTACTCAAATCTATAACCCAGAAAAGGGTAGATGGACTGAACTTGGTGCTCTTTGTGTCATGCAGGTAAGGCGTCAACATCTGGAAAATAGACTCTACATATCTGTTTTGTTTATATGCTTGGTCGAGCTGGTCGTCCACAATATGAGCCGAAGGGTAAAGGAATCTTGATTACTAACCATTCCAAGCAGCAGTTGTATCTCTCACTGATGAATCAGCAGGTTTGTGCACATCACCTTTAATCAAATCCTGACCGCTCAAGATCTCTGTGCTATGTCCTCCTTTCAGCTACCCGTCGAAAGCCATATGTCTCGTCTTCCTGATATGCTTAATGCCGAAGTAGTGTTGGGTACCATCAGTAGTGTCAGCGACGCCCTGTCTTGGCTTGGTTACACATATCTCTACATCCGTATGCTAAAATCGCCAACTTTATATGGAATACCAATCGATCAAGCGTTAACTTCTATGCTTTTGCTTACTCATGTGCTGTATATGGTTGATCGACATGCGCATGTAGTGACTTACTTCCAGAAAGCCGATCTCCGTTTGGAACAGCGATGAGCCGATCTAATTCACACAGCGTGTCTGCGGCTGGATAGGGGCAATCTTGTAAAATACGACAAAAAGAGGGGGCTCATCAAGGTTAGAATTGATTGTAGAGGTTTAGCCTTTCCGCAGGGATCGTTCTTCTCTGACGGAGCCGGGGAGCATTCTTGCGAGGAAACTTTTGCATAATTCAGCCGTCTTTTTACTGTAAAGACTACATGTTCTGCAGGCAACAGAACTGGGACGCATTGCCTCCCATTACTATTGCACGTTCGAGTCTATGCAAGTATATAATCAACTACTGAAGCCAACTGCTACTGCTTGACTTGTTCCGCATCTTCTCTTTGTCGAGTGAATTCAGAATCGCTGTATGTGGTGCCGTTGATTTTTTTACCACATGGATTAGGCATACCACGTAATTTGAACTGCCCTTTAGGTGCGTGAAGAGGAAAAACTTGAGTTGCAAAAGCTTGCTGAGCATGTTCCGATCCCCAACAAGGAAAGCTTGGATGAAAGCAGTGCAAAGGCAAATGTGTTGCTGTAGTTAAACATACTCCGTAGGCATAGACATGGAGGCAGAAACGCAGATTGACTTAAAGACCCGTATAGGAATATCATCATCTTATGTTTTAGGCTTACATCTCACAAGTGAAACTCGACCGATTCGCGCTGCAATCCGACATGGTGTTCATTGCTCAGGCAGCTGGACGGCTTTTCCGTGCCCTCAACGAAATTGTTTTGTGGCGAGGATGGGCTGCTTTAGCAGTGGTACATAAGCTCATTCAGCTCTATGGTTAAAACATTACTTATTTACTCATGTTCAGAAGGTACTAAGCTTGTGGAAAATGGTTACAGTTTTCAGTGGCATTCCAGTGGGGGGTAAGTATACATCCATAATGTTGCATTTATCTGACCAATGCCAATTTAAGATTGTGCGAAGCAATGATAAAAGGCACTATTGCTTTGAGCGGTAGTATGATTTGGGTCAGCGCTAACTTGGGGAACTCGAGCGAATGCGAAAAATGCAAGTTGAAGCTTCAGTAAATGTCCAAGCATTCTACTTAGTCATGTGGGCGACTGTGGCATCGGCGGACTTGGTTAGTGAGTGTGTCTACTATTTAGTAGTATTTTATATATATTATCGAGAATCGGTATTTGTGTAGGATCCACGCATCACTTAGTGTCATGATATGTAAGAGTCTGAAAGATTGCCGACTTTCGCTTCGGCGTTTGAAAAGATTTGTGAAATTTTTTAATGATAGTTGTAGTTTCGTACAAGTATCAATTGCCTATACTTACCCTATTTTGAGGTGTATAAGTCGCTCCCTTTTTGCTCTAAACGCGAGCAGACCCAGACGTGCCGTCGCACATATGTCTCGAAACGGTCGCATTATCGCATAATGCTCTCACTTAACGCTCTCCATGATGGCAGTCAATTTTTTGGCGTGTTCGCTTTTAGAGCGAAAAGGGTGTTGCTTATACACCTGAAAATAGGGTACATGTTTACTTGGGTTTTTTGTTGACAAGACACTTGTATTCCTTCATATGCAAAGGTATCGTGGTCGTTGAGACGATGTTTTTATTGGAACGTCCTTTTACGTGATGTTTATGTCCACTGATCGCTCACGCTACCTTTGTTAACGTTGCGGACACATAAAACCTAACCTAACTTGAAACACAAAACAAAATTCAACACAAACGAAACTAAAAATGCAACCATTGGTATATCAGCAATTGAAGCTTTCAACTTTGAAGCACAAAAGAAGAAGTATTCACGGTTATCACTATATGTGAGGAATCATAATCTCAGTATGGTCTGTTTGATATGCCTTTTCAATTGTGCTGCCGGCTGATATCTGCGTGCACAGCCACTCAGCAGCATTTGTGGTTGTCTATGTTGCGAGAACAAAAGAACAACCATAACAATGTCTCACCTTGGTTGTTGGAACCAGACGCTGCGCTACTCTCAATGATTTTTCGGTAGGCAATATTCCTGACTTCTAATGTGTGTCTAGTGATTCGCACATGTCCTCTTGACCGCGTGCTCGAGAGCGCAAAATACATGCTTTTATGCGTGAACGAGAATGTGGCAATCATAATCCCGACTTTGCCGAACGTTTGGGGTAAAGTTTTGTCCTTCTGCAACATACTGCAACTACGTTGCACGTTGCTCTGTCGTCGTGGAATTGACTCGTATGCTCAAAAAACTGCAGCAACAACTTTAGTTAGGAAGCTCCTATTTACTGGTGTGGCCATATTGTAAAGCTGATCAACTCTTGCAGTTAACAGGTTTTTGCAGCGAAGCGTGATTATTGCACTAGAATGGTAGCACTTCAAGGCGGGTACGGTTACACAGGCGATCTTCTACATTAATAGGATTTATCACTAAGGCCCCACATTTTAATTTTAGCTTGTACGAAAGCTTACCAGGAGGGGTCAGATGATGAATAAATTCTTCGTAGTCACAAGGCAAATCCAGAAGGCGTTCCATGCATTCACTCGGCTTCATTTTCAGAAACATCTCGTTTAGCTCCATAGTGTCACAATTTCGAAATGTCAATAGGCCCATATTGCTTATGAGATTAGGCGAACCAATTACTTCGGAAGTGTAGATCCATTCAAAAACTTCCTTCTCAATTTGCATACACATGTCGACAGGAATTCTTCAGCATCCCGCAACCATGTTGCATGTTCCTCCTCACCGTGGCGGAGTCACATGTTTTCATCCAGCACGTAAATCTGCATATAACGCCAGAATTCACTTGACTTCAAAGTCAGATTGATTGTGTCCATTATTGATGGTACGTGAACAACAGGAAGGAACTGACACCAGTCTTCTCCAAAAACCATAACAACCCCACCAAAAAGAGAGTTTCTATTCACTGGTGCGGCCACATCACGTAGCAACCTCTGCACACATTCCACGGCTAAGCGACTCTGCATGGAAATTTCATCCTAGCTTATGACGTTCACATCGCGTAGCATCTTCCCCTTGTCGGATGAATGATCTATTCCAGCCACCGAATCAGCGCGTAGCCCTTTGAGTGGTAGTGAGAAAGTAGTGTGTGCCGTACGACCATCTGCTCAAAAGGGTAGCCGCGATACCTGTAGATGCGACAGCAATCACAGATAAACCTTCTCTTCGCAATTCATCAATCAGTGTGTTAAACGTAAATGTTTTGCCGCATCCTGCTTTTCCATAGACAAAGAATAAACATTTTCCTCCGTTTTCTCAGACTTTGCTGTGGTGACAACTTTCATTACGATCTCTCGTTGTTTTGCATTCAAAAGGTTTATTCGATTGTTATTTTCAGCAAAATCCGCAGATGTATCAATAGCATCATCATTTTCTTTCGAAACCTCCGCTGAAACATGTTCTTTGTTGGTAATCTTGTCGAAAATTCCTTGAAGGTGCTCCATCATGGACATTCCATTAGCAGTAATGATACGTTTGATGGACTTTAACGAGTTCAAATCTTCTTCATCATATGAACTAGTATGTTTATCAGCATACATATTAGTGTTAAACTTTATGCTAAAGCTTCGAAGCTTTTGTCGGCTTGAAGTACAGAACTATATGCTCCAAAATGCGTTGTATCCTCGAAGATTTGTCTATCAACGCTGCACTCCGCAAACAGTTTTCCCATTGCGAGCTTCCTTCTACGTAACCGTGCAGCTTTCGTAGTTCCCATGAAATATGAATAAGTCTTGGCGTTAAAGGTTATCATGTTTTCAAAGGACTGAACCACTTTTTTGTATAGTAGGATCTTCTTAACGAAGTACAATTGAAGTAGTGTTGGATTGATTGAGCACAATCTAGCTATGCACATTTCACTGCGCGTAGAGGGTACATTCTTGACACCGTCGAAACGGTAATTTTCAGCGACTTCTATCCACGTCATCCCTTTAGCTCGTTCATCGCGTCTAACAAGATCGAAGCATGGCAAAAGTTTGCTCTTCTTTCTTCTCGCAGTAGACGGTGAATTAGTAAAGAATATCGGGTCCTCATTCGGTAAATAGGGTCTCAATGAGATAACGGTATGCGTATTATAATGCATAGGGTAATGTTATATTCGATACGGAGATTCAACACGAGACACATATGTGTCAATCTGTACACTTTTCGCACATTCAGGTTCACGTAGTTCTCGTTCTTATCATTCGTATACAGTTATATCTTCATCAGATGGTCAATCTGTCATTTTTCTGGAAAACAACAGAATCTGCACCTTTGAAAACTTAGTCGGAGACATATTTGAATGCTTGAATGGTAGAACAAACTTCTACATTTACGTGACATTCATGCTTCAATAGTAGCCACTGGTTAGTTGGTACTAGGTCATTGTTCGTGGCATATGTATTTCTGAGCTTGGCTACAGGAATACTTTACCATCATTTCTTCCGTGGTAGCGTAAATCTCAGCATTGATTACTTCAGTGGCACTTCTGTATCCATTTGAATACCTTTAGAACAGTCTTCCGAATCCGCCTATGTCCAGGATCAGCACTTCTGTAACTCGGGTCGTGAATGATGTGTATTTGCACAAGTTCAACTATTCGCAATTTTCACTTGATATGTGGGTCCTCTTCGGCGTACCAATCCTTTTTTGCTCATGTTATGAGAAGATATGCATGCGGCTTTCCCCTTTTTTGAAATCTGTGCTGTCACGCAAGGCCAGAACTTTCTCGAACATGTCTTTCATTTTGATGTCATCAAAACTCTGTCAGATGTAGGGAAATACAAGTCAACATAGTAGAGGATTGGTAATTGGTTTTCATCTGTGGTCATTCATGATTTCCCCTGAATGTAATGAACAAGTCGGGTTTTCTCAGTCGTATGCAACTGACATTGCACCACTATATTTTTTGATACCATTCTCTGCTTCCAACTAATGTTTGCATTTTTACAAGCTTTCAGCTACACACCCTTTTTATCCAGCTTTCAGTCGAGATACAACATACATATATATAAACAAAGCGCTCTTCCGCTTAGTGGTTTTGCAGTAGCACAGAGCT